AACAACTTAGTTTTCACTGAAAGTGCCACAGCAACCTCTCCCACCACATCACTGGTTATTCATTCATATGTCTAGAAGTCTGAGGTCCAAATCTCACGTCCCATCAAAGAGACTTTCCTTTCGGCCTGGACACTGTAGTTGCCGCCGTCCGCCCAGAAAGTAATTTTGTCACCAACTTTGAGGCCTCTGTGGCGGCGGTAGTCATGCCAACCTCCTAGAAAAACCGGTTTTGGGTGCCCGTCCCTCCTGACGTAATACCCAAATTGCCAAGTTGTTCCCGACCTTACGTCGACGACCGGAAAATTTACCGTCTCCCCTCCTCTATGTTCCGGCAAATGATCCACGAAGTCACTATTCACTGCCATTTGTCTTTTGATATCTCCTTCGGACAGAATTTTGCTGAAAGAAGGCATTGCAAATCAGAGAACCCAAGTCTGAACTGCAGAGAGAGAAAAGAGCAGATTAGTTCAATTGAATTAATCATTCATGAATGATATTTTATCTAAACTAAACGAAGAATTTTTTTCTTTTGCCAAGCAAAAAACATTACCTATCAGATTCCAGCGATGAAGTGCTGGAGAAGAGAGCTGTTTGGTGCAGTTTATATATAGGATGAGAGAAAGGAAAAAGAAAGTCACGGGTGATTCCCAAATACCGAATTGAAAAATAGGAGTAATGGCAACTAGGAAGGCCGAAGGAAGGAAGGAAGGGTGGGCAGGGTTGGATTTTAATTATAATTGAAATTGAATTGGTGGTTAATTAAAATTCAAAGATTTTAAAATTTAGTGATTATTAATTAAATTATGAAAGATAAGTTTTGTTAATTTTGGTTGTATTTCTTTAAATAATTATTTAGATTGATTTCAGTTTTAATTAAAATTTATGTTTATATTTTTAATATATTTTTTAAAAATTTTAATTATTATGTAATTAATTTCAATCACTAAAAAATTAAAAATTATTTAAATAATTAAATAAATTAATAACACTTTAAATTTTAAAAACTATTAAAAATTATAATATTATACTCACTTTAATTATTAATTTAATAATTAAAATCTAATCTATTTAAAATTAGTTTAATTTAATTTTTAATTAAATAAATTCAAAAACTTAACCGAACCCTACTTATTTAGTACTTTTTGTTGACTTTCAAAATTTTTTTTTCAATTGCTAATTTCTTTAACCTACCCTTGAAAGAAGGCAGTTCTGGATAGGAATGAAGTCGCCTAGGAAACTTCAGAGAAAGATAATATATTAATGAAAAGATTCTCATATTATTGCCGTGTGGAATGGAGGGGACTGTCAATTATTAGTTCTTGGCTGCATTTGAACTGCATATGAATACTGTTTGATGGGAATAAAAAATTATGAATAGTATTTAATAATATTTTTTAAATTTATGCTCTAATATAAATTTAAGAATAGTGAAAAATTAAAATATTTTAATAATTAAAATATTAGGATTTTTAAGTTATTTAAATATTTTTAATAAATTAAGATATAATAAAGATTTATTAAGAGTATTGAAATAATTTTATATCAAAACGTCTTAATTTTTACTTATTTCATAAATTTATGTTAAAAAAATAAAAATTGACTTTTAACTTATGATTCATTTAATTAAATTAATTTAAGTGATAAAATATTAAAATTAATATTAATTTTTATATTTTTTATATATAAATTTATGGCAAGAATATATAT